ACAACTTGAGGTATCCTATGAACTAAACGCTTTGAACTGTGAAAGAAAGTAACAATATTTTTGCTAATCTCTATCCATTATGACACTGAGAGTAGTGACATGTAAGAGGCAACTCATCACTAGGTCGTTATCATTACCTGTAGGAGCATACTGTATTTATTAAAATTTAAGTGTCCGGAAAATTCTCGTTAGTGGTGCAAGACGAAAAAGCCTGAAAGAAAATAAGTGCTGAAGTGACCACAGCTATTGTGCTTATCGAACCATATTTTAAATTTGGGGGCATAATATGGGGTCTTCTCATCTAGGCGCAGGGTAAGAAAATAATGACAGATCGGATTTATATAAAAGGCACAAAGATATGCCATCGCAGAGTGAAATGACAATGGACTCTATCGTATATAATAAAAGCAGGCAAAAATCAGAAAACAGCAGTCCGGAGCCAACGGTGCAGTCTCTGCAGGGAGGTAGCATTGAGGTCGGTGACTTTCTGAATATAACTCTTATTCGTGACCAACTACAATTACTTATTTCCAAGAAAGCGCTCCTAGTGGATGCTTTGGAGCAAACGTTAAAGGAAAATGAAAAAATGAACGCGTCCGCAACCTTTTATTTAGCCTTCTTGTACGCGACTTATGCAGGCCTAACGTTTTTGGTCTCATTGCTACTTATACAACTGGGCCCAAGATTGTGCAGCGCAACTCACACTCGAGAAATCTATTTCCTTCTTCTCGTTGCTGGTTTTACCACCTATTTCTTCCTGCGCATGCAACACGCATCTAGAAACAAACAAATCCAAGTACCAGCCGTGCGCAGACTGGAGATGTCCAATCATTTGGGTTCTATTATCCAGCTAAGCCATAAGTTAAACTTGGCTCTGCATGAACTGCTGGCAGTACCTGCAATTCTGTCGTACGTAGAAAACTGCAAAGTGGGCTTAGATTGTAACAGTGACGCCACTGTCTGGATAGAAAAATGCTTGGTTTATGCCACCAGAGCCCCAGAATCGGCCAAGTACCTAGACGAAGATACCTGGATCGTAAAACCGCTCCTTTTACAACAGGTTATCAGTCTACAGGATGACCTACGCGAACAGCTCTCCTGGCTGCTTACACTGGAGCGAGTTATCGGAGCTCTTCCCAGTGCTCAGGCCTATGCACAGACCCCAATGGCATGTCTGGACCACATTATATGTAACACATAGATATGCTAATAAAGATTTATTCCCCGGTTTGATGAGCAAAATGAATTTTGGCGAACGAACTCCAGCGTAAGGATTTAAGAGAACCTTGCGTATAGTGGAACCTGCAACAAGTTATATAACTTCCCAATAGATTGCATCATCCTTATCTATGCTCATCAAATGCGATTTATATAATTAGTTACAAGCACATCTTGCTGCG